ATAAAAAATTATTTAATTAAAATAATTATCAATTATTTTAAAACTGAATAATTTATCTATTATTTAATACACCCTTAACTTTCCAAATAATTAGGGCACTACAGGGACCTCAGGAATAAAATAAATCAGGCTACTAATTATAATAATAACCTATGTAGACCAACATATTCTTATTATAATTAATCATGAATTATTCCACTTAGAATTTTCCACTAAAAAACTCATGACTGAAACTTCCGTTATTTATTTTAACAATTCCGACAAACATAAATAAAATAAAGTTCCACCGTTAAATTAGCAGATGCTGGTCATTTAAATAACTTAACTGACAATTTATTTAAATCCAGATATAACTTTAAGATGTCGCTCAAACTTATTTCATGTGTCCGGATTCAAGTATCCACCTGCAGGGTTGTACACTATGAACCTTATAAGCTTACTTAAGATGGCATCATCAAATCTCTAAAGCCGAGACATGGAATTCTATCATTAATTAAATATTTTCACAACACAAAATAATCTTTGCCCAAATCACCGAAGAATGATTATTCCCAATAATGAAACTCAACCCTCTTAAATGAATCAAAGTACAAGCAATCAATGTTTGCTCGATATTAGAAAATAAATCAGATTAAGAACAATTAAACATTATTTCTAATGTCCTAAGAGAAATATGTTTAACGTCAAGTAACAAACATCCATTTCTCTACTTGGTCCAATTAAATAACATACAAAATGTACTTAGATCACAAATTATTGGTTCCAGTGTAAAATGCTAAATAAACAATTTTATGTTTAAAGCAAATGCAAATTTCCAATTAAATACAAAGAAATAATTGTCAATAGAAAATCATTCATAGCTATACTATTACATATGCATGGTTAATAGTATATCTCTATCCCAAACTATATTTAGAATAAGCAAACTTGATTGACAATCATTGTAATTTCCTCTTCTGAAGCAATGGACCTCCAAATCCTGTTAAGTTGGTGATCTCAAGAGCCTATTCATATTTTTTGGATTGATTTTGAGTCATGGTCACGATTGGCTTCATTCCTAGGTGAACCAAGCTCTGTTATAGGCTAAACTTGCTTTAATGACAAGCAACAGGTTTTGAATTGCCCCTTTGTGGCCCCTTTGTGTGGCTGCAAACGAGTGACTGAGTACATTTTAATGTATTCAGGACGATATTGGAGATATTTTCCAGTTGGACTCACAAGACTGAACATTTCCAGAGGATTCATTCAAGGACTGGTGTACCCTATAACTCGATGCTGTTTTTTGATGATGAGGACAGAAACATCCAAGCGGTAAAAATAGCCTTTTCTGTGCTCCTTTTCATTGAATTTCTTTTATCCTGCTATCTACTTGGTGAGTAGAAAGTTCCATGAGGAGTTTAACCTTTAGATATCGTAAATTTACTGTGAGTTGCTACGAATTTTTATTTATTTTGGGAATTGAGTTTACTTGTTTAAGCATTTCTAATTGGAATGTCAGGTTTCAAAAATGGGAGTAACGAGCATTCTAGTTGGTAAGGGGGTCAATCTTGGAGCATTGAGACGGGCGCTTACAGAATTCACTCAAAATGTCACTACATCAGAGAAGAACAAGCAAAAATGGCTGAAATTTTCAAAAAATTCATCTGAGTAGAAAGAGAAAGATTGAAAGAATAAAGATTAGTAGAAAGAGAAAGATTGAAAGAATAAAGATTTAAGACATTGGAAGTAAAGGACTTTTTTCAACCATATTACGTTGTATATCAGAATTTATTGTATCAAATATACCTGCCTTTTTCATATGATTTCACTCATTCGCTTTTCCAGATAGTATCCCCACACTCCCTATACATTTGTTTACAGTATGCATTTGATTACACTTCATGTGACGTACTAAACGGACTCTAAGGAGCTGAGAGCTGATATCTGATAGCTGATTTGCATCCAACCGTTAGGCTTGAGGTGTTTGGTAAAGCTTTGATAGTAGCCCTAATTACAGTTGGATACTATTTGATTTATATTTGTATTATATTTCAGACTTTATATAATTACTGATAAATCATTTTCTGATTTTTATGTTTTATTTATTTATTTTATTTATTGACAGGTTTAATAGATCAAAATAACATGATAGACTATAAAATACGGACAGGGTCTTTCCCTTAACTCATTAAATTGATAAAAATTCTTATGATTGAGTAGACTCGAACTCAAGATCTCTCACCCTTTACAATAAATTTAATTACGTCTAGTTTACAATGATCCTTTTATTTCTCTGATGAGATGAAAATAATACTAGTAAAATAAAAATATAATTTATTATCACATGGTTATTGATATTTATGGAATATATTATGTCCTTGTATATGGACTCCAATTTAATTTTTTTTTATTTTAATCATTCGGCATCCAAAATTCACTGATTTGATTAATTCGGATTCACACTAGACATGTCTATAAAGGGGGCAAAATGTTTCCTATGGAGTGTTTACGAAGACCGTTGTCGGGGGATTTCAATTCAATTTTTAATGTCTTTCTCAACATTTTGTCCATAAATTAAAAAAAACAATAATATTAAAGAAAAAAATAAAATTAAGTACTAGCAGATATGGTTATTCCAAGTCAATTTAGAAAATAATAAGAAAACTGAGTCTTCATTTATTCTTCTTTTCTCATCCGGAGAAAAGTCCGAGTAAAACTTGGAGGCTTGGTTTCATCTGCTTGCGAGTTGGTTCCCAGTCTTTTTCGCATTGCTTGGTTTCATCTGCTTGCGAGTTGGTTCCCAGTCTTTTTCGCATTCAGCTATTGACTAGAAATTACCAACAAGACATTGATTGGAAGGATATACGACCTCAATTTTGATTTTTATCCTAGTAAAACTTGGTGGCTTGGTTTCATCTGCATGCGAGTTGGTTCCCAGGATATACGACCTCAATTTTGACTTTTATCCTAGTAAAACTTGGTGGCTTGGTTTCATCTGCATGCGAGTTGGTTCCGAGTCTTTTTCACATTCAACTATTGAATAGAAATTACCGACAAGACATTGATTGGAGATATATACGACCTCAATTTTGATTTTTATCCTAGTAAAATTTGGTGGCTTGTTTTCATCTGCATGCGAGTTGGTTCCGAGTCTTTTTCACATTCAGCTATTGACTAGAAATTACCGACAAGACATTGATTGGAGAGATATACGACCTCAATTTTGATTTTTATCCTAGTAAAACTTGGTGGCTTGGTCTCATCTGCATGCGAGTTGGTTCCCAGTCTTTTTCGCATTCAGCTATTGAGTAGAAATTACCAACAAGACATTGATTGGAGGGATATACGACCTCAATTTTGATTTTTATCCTAGTAAAACTTGGTGGCTTGGTTTCATCTGCATGCGAGTTGCTGGCATGCGGAGTTGGTTCCGAGTCTTTTTCACATTCAGCTATTGACTAGAAATTACCGACAAGACATTGATTGGAGAGATATACGACCTCAATTTTGATTTTTATCCTAGTAAAACTTGGTGGCTTGGTTTCATCTCTGCATGCGAGTTGGTTCCCAAGATGTACTACCTCAATTTTGACTTTTATCCTAGTAAAACTTGGTGGCTTGGTTTCATCTGCATGCGAGTTGGTTCCCAGTCTTTTTCGCATTCAGCTATTGACTAGATAGAAATTACCAACAAGACATTGATTGGAGGGATATACGACCTCAATTTTGATTTTTATCCTAGTAAAACTTGGTGGCTTGGTTTCATCTGCATGCGAGTTGGTTCCCAGTCTTTTTCGCATTCAGCTATTCACTAAAAATTACCGACAAGACATTGATCGGAGGGATATACGACCTCAATTTTGGTAAACGATCTTGTCTCATTGAAGCGAATTTAATTTCTGTGAAAATAAAATTAAAAATTCGATCTCTAAAAATTACACTGAACTTGAACCTAATTATATTTCCTAGTTCTATTAAAAAAAAAAAAGACTAGAAATAATTTTGAGGTTGATAATATTTAACATATATCACTTGTTTTTCATTTCAAGCTTAAATTATTTTCTTCAGTGTATGGTCCTGTCATGTACGAGCTTAAATTATTTTCTTCAGTGTATGGTCCTGTCATGTACGGGAAGGCTCTTCGGTTCAGATAGCCTAAGCACAATATCCGATGCCACATTAACAGTTGTTAGGAAATAAATATAATAATAATAATAATAATAATAATCATAATAAAACAAACAGAATACATAAATTCATCGATAAATTTTTACAACATTAATATTGTAGCGGTCTGAGCTTTGTAGATGATTCATTGTGTACTTTAATTTACAAATTTTAATAATATTACATATTTTTTTTTATTGAAAATGAAAATTTTAAAATTTTTAATTTTCATATGCAAAATGATTTAATATGTAATTAAAGTCGTAAAATCGGGAGTAAATGGATAGGATTTTTTTGGATTAATTTTTTCACACCAAGCCTATACATAGCATAACTAATAAGTCGAAATAGCTATTTGCCATTTATGCTGTTAATTTCCAACGTAATTAATTAAGTCTGTGGTTACACATGAATGCGATCTGGATGTCAAATGTTGATTCAGTATTTGCTAATGAAATTAAAACCTTATCAATTTAGATTTAGTACTAGCATATTTAGGTTGTAAAATAATTAATTTTTAATTATTGTCTGTAAATTTTTTAATTTTTGTTACGAGTACTCTCGTATCCTATCCTTTTAGATATAAGATTTGAAAGAAAGTGAGGTAAAACAGTAAATTTAGGTAGTGATATAGACACTCTGCTTCCGGCTAAATCAAGTCACTTGATATCTATTTGCTGGTCTTTTAGGAATTTTAGATTACATGTGCATGCATCATTATTATCACGTTGGTGGAAAAACTTATGATGTTTACCTGCTCTTGGTTAGCAAGTCCAAATCTAATACCCCATCTTCCAATCCAAATACATCCCAATACCAAATGTATATATTACCAAATAATATATATATAAAAGCGAATTTTGATTTATCTTTTTAATTATTCAGATAGTACAATATTATACTAATCAAAGACAATACCTTCAATGGCTATGGAGGTGGGATGGGAGGCGTAGAAGAACTCCCTCGCTCTTACCCGCATCCTCCACCACCTCCTCCACCTCCTACACCGACATGGCGGTACGAGGTGTTTCTCAGCTTTAGCGGTCAGGACACCCGCGACAACTTCACTGACCATCTATACACAGGTCTAGTTGAGAGGCGCATTACGGCATACAGAGATGACAAAAACCTAGGAAGAGGATGTTTCATCATCGAAACACTTTTTCGAGCAATCGAAAGATCTAGAACATCGATCATCATCTTCTCCAAGAATTATGCTGCATCAAAATGGTGCTTGTATGAGCTTGTAAAGATTGTTAAGTGTAACAAGCTTCTGGGACACATGATATTTCCAGTTTTCTATGATGTAAGACCAGACCATGTCGCTGAACAAACTGGTCCTTACAAGAAAATCTTTATAGATCATTACAAGAATTTCAAGAAGCGAAGAGTTGACAAGTGGAGAAATGCTCTTAAAACAGTTTGTGGTATAAGTGGATGGTACAAGCCAAATTATCGGTAATGTGCTCTTTCCTCGAGGAGGAAAAGTGTTTCCACCTTTTTTTTTTTCCAGTGAAGCGTCAAAAATACCCTCATTTTAATCAAAAAGTTGTTTTTGATTAATAAGGTACATGGAAAAGATAAAGTGGTTTAGATAAAGGATTAGAGAAGGCTTTGCTTAAGTCTCTAGTAAACAGATCTTGCTCATCGTTTGCTTCTCTTCATTTAGGACATACCATTAGGCAAGAATTACTAGTTTATGGGTATTTTGCTTCTCTTAAGTCTCTAGTAAACAGATCTTGCTCATCGTTTGCTTCTCTTCATTTAGGACATACCATTAGGCAAGAATTACTAGTTTATGGGTATCAAATTTTCTTCTTCTTTTTTTAATCTAGATTTTGTATATTTTCCATACTGCAATTGAATTGATAATTCTTTAAAATAATCTAGAATTGCACAATTCAAAATTGTAAATCTAGTTAACATGTAAGAAAAGAAAGTAGCAATTTGATTAGTAGCTAGCCCAGTGGTCTAAGCAGTATTTCTTGCTCATCACCTGCAACTAGGCAGCAATTACTAGTCTCTGGCTATTTTGTAAGTATCCATAACGCAACTGATAATTTTTTAGGGCAAAATTGAACCAAATGAATGAAAATCAACATCTTGCAACTTGTAAGAAAGGTTAACAAGTTAAACCAACACATGGGTGCTCCAACGACCAATCAGAGCACTTGTCGTTTAAAATGGAGCATCAAAATCAATTAGTTGAAGGCATTCACAAAAAAGTTGTGTGTAATACACTGTCTCAAATACTAGAACCAGAAAAGCTCAATTTGTATTTGTTAGAGTTTGTTCATTCCAATGTATCTCAAAATTTGATTGCTAAAGATAAGACAATGGAGGAAATCAAAAGCAAAAATAAGAAGCAAGAAAATGTGAATACAATCTACCAAAAATTTATTGTCTAACAACAAAATCAAATTCCAAGTAAACATACTATTTCAGAAAGTTAAACATTTCATCAAATCAAAACAAATGTTAATTAAGAAATACAGAATGTAACCCATTTAATTCTGGAAACCCATAATCATTTAAGGAGCCATACAATTATTTAAAGAACAAGGAAGGTAATTATTCAGAATGTGTTATTTGCTCTAGTGAATAACTATGACAGTTTACGACTGCAACACGTGTTTATTGCTGAAACGCATTCGTATTCCATTCGTTGATTCCCTTAAATTTGATACTTCTGATATTTATTTTTCATTAATTAGTTATTGATTATTTGATTTCAAATTTACTCTTATTTTTTTATCTCTATTAAATAAGTATTAATTATGTAGAGAAGTGATAAAAGGGTAATTTAGCTAATTTTTTTTTTTTTTTTTAGAATTGAGTTCGATTCATTCATTTTCTTCATTCTTGTAATTGAAAAGGTATCAAATTTTAATTTTAAAAAATTTATTTTAAATAAGTTGAAATAAAATATATATCCTTGAATAAATCATTTGTTATTTAAATTTGTAGTTAATTAATTATTTCAAATTACTTCAATAAATTTCATCGTATAGTTCTAAAATATCACATATTTTATTAATAATTACTAACTGTTGTAATATTTTTCCCTAAAAAACAGAAGACATTCCAATTTCAAAATTTGTGATCTAATGTGTCGCGTGCTCACCTACTCGCCTTTTCTTTAAAGGGGTCGTTTCGACGATAGCAGCATCACTAAACGGTTGTTCTGTTATTTGTCATTTTTATAAATTTATTCCTCACTCGTTGGACGATAATTTTAGGCTACAAATTTATAATAGACATTCTGGATCCTTTTCTTTTAAAGGAGGAAGGCCTATTCAAGCCAAACAGCGTGTCGTTCAACTTCATCATGCTATGGTTTTCCGTATAAACTTAATAAACATCAAAGCATAAATTTTTTAGCATTTAACAACTAATATATGTGCACCATGCTGCGGTTGTATATTTTTTCAGAAATTTATTTTGTAATAATGGTTAGGATAATTATTTTTAAAAAAATATGCAGAGTGATTTATTCAACAACTACTTGGCATAAAGTGTTTACTAAACAAATGAGCATGAAATTCAACAATCAATTTTGCTTGGTTCATACAAATGAGGTGAGAGGTGATATTTATAGGCATTTCCACCTCTTCAATGTACGACTATAATTTACTTACAAAAATGTACGGTGGAGATTGTTTCCCTCCACCTCTTTCAATGTACGACTACTTAATTTACTTACAAAAATGTACGGTGGAGATTACATGGAGCATTTTAGAGTACGTGAGAATACTTTATTAAAATAATCTCGGTGGAGAATTCTAGAACTATGTAGACATTATACAAAATATCTTTTGGTGGAGTAATGTGGAGTATTCTAGAATGCGGGCTTGGACCTCCAACTTTGGGCTTGGGGTTTTCACCTTTTGGGCTTTAAGCTTGCCAAGTATTTAACTTATTGTGGTAGTGGTGACTTTTCTAATACATGACTAATATTTTAATACTCTCCCTCAATGATTAATTTCTCTTTCTTCATCATTCCCAACTGTTGGCGAAAATCTTCATATTTATTTGCGTTTAAACTCTTTGTAAAGATATCGGCTGGTTGATCCTCCGTCTTGATATATTTCATTTTAACTCTCCTTGTAGAACCTTCTCTCTGAGAAAGTGATAGTGAACCTCCACGTGTTTTGTTCTCGCATGAAACATCGGATTCTCAGCTATTTGTATAGCCGAACGATTATCACAATTTAACGGAATTGGATAGTCGATGGGTTGAGTCCGATGGATTGATGCAGATCGTTCATAGATGTGACAAACCAAACACTTTCCCTGAGCTGCTTTGCTACTGCCGATTACTTCAGCTCTCTGTTGTGGAAGTGACCACTGTAAGGTTGTCTCTTGCTGCACCAAGAAGATTACTCTTGAACCAAGACTAAATGCATAGCTGTTGTCGAGCGTCGGTGGTCTCGTGATCTCCTTGTCGAGCGTCGAGTGTCGTGATCTCCTGCATAATCAGCATCGCAATATCTTTCCAACTTGATAATTTCACCTCTCTTGTATAAGATCCCATAATCGATTGTACTTTTGACATATCTCAATATTCTTCGAACTGCTTCCAAGTGAGCTTTCTTAGGCTTCTGCATAAACCGGCTGACTACTCCAACTGCAAAAGAAATGTCAGGCCTTGTCATAGTGAGATAGATTAGGCTTCCCACTAGTTGTTTATACATAGTAGCATCTTCGAGATCATTCCCTTCATGAGCACACAGCTTGACATTAGCATCCATTGGAGTAGATATCAGCTTGCATTTCATCATTCCAAACCTCTTCAGCAGATCTCTTGCATACTTTTGTTGTCCGAGTACAAACCTTCCTTGGGTTCTTCTATCTCCAATCCAAGGAAATGCCTAGCTTTCCTAAGCTCTTTCATCTTGAAACCGAGTAGGCCAAATTCTCTCTAGTAGCCAAATTCTCTCGGATGAGTTGAATCTCTTTGATGTTGTCGCTAGTGACTATTAAATTATCAACGTATACTAGCACTATAGCTAGTCTTCCATCCTGATCTTTCACAAACAAACTGGAGTCTGCTAGTGTCATAACATATCCATTCTTGACAAGAAATTCTGCAATCTTGCAATACCAAGCCCTTGGTGCTTGTTTTAGACCATAGAGAGCTTTCCTTAGCTTGCGCACATAGTTAGGATTTTCACTACTTCTGAACCCTGGTGGTTGCTCCATGTAGATTTCACGATCAACTTCACCATGTAAGAATGCGTTCTTCACATCCATCTGCCACCAAGGCCATGACTTACTAGCTGCTAAAGCTAGTAATACACGCACAATAGTGATCTTGGCAACTGGACTAAATATCTCATCATAGTCTAAGCCATACTGCTGAGAAAATCCAAAAGCAACCAGTCTTTCTTTGTATTGCTCAATTGATCCATCCGAGCGAGTTTTGATTTTCTAGACCTATTTGCAAGAGATGGGTTTCACATCTCTTGGTTTTGGCACTAATTCCCATGTTTGATTTTGCTCTAAAGTAGCAATTTCTTCTTCCATCGCAGTAGTCCACTCCATCTTCTTTGATGCTTCTTCATAAGTTGTTGGCTCGTTTATTTCTGCTATAGCAGCATTTGTATATTTTGGATTAGGCCTTCTTTCTCGACCCGGCCTTCTTTCTCAACCTGATCGCGGAAGTAGAGCATAATCTGGATCTTGTTCTTCTTGCCTTGGCTGCTGTTGTTCGTATGCACCTATCTTCCACGGGCTCTTCGATTTCTCTTGAACTTTGGATGACTCTGCTTGACCTTTTTTTGGGATGAACTCTCCCTCTCTTTTTAGCAAAGAGAGCTTTCTCATCATCCTTCAAAGCTACTTTAGACATTTTTTCGTCCAAAGTCTCTTCATTGGACAAGATATTCTCGACAAGATATTCTCTAACTCGTCTAAGTTGGTGTGTGTATCCCAACCACGAGTTAGAGTACAAGACCCTTAAATCAAGGTCTTAGCCATGGATGATGATCCTCCTCATCCTTGTCTCATTAATCTTGTTGTCTGGATCTAATTTCGAATTCTCCTCACATAAAGATTTTACTTTAGAAAAGTATTGACTTACAGTGAGGTTATGTTGCGAGATTGAGAACAACTCGTTTTCAAGCCGGTACAGTTTTGCTTCATTCTTCTTAGCAAAAGTAGACTTGAGGATGTCCCACGCTTCCTTTGGTGTTTTAGCCAACTTGATCCGTTGCATCTGCTCATCTTCTACTGCAACCGTCAGCACATACATCGCCTTCCCACATTTTGTCTTCCACTCTTTCAGAGCTTTCGCATCCCCAACTGGTGGTGTATAGTATTATCTCCTCCTACTATATCTCATAAGTCTTGACCTATGAAATAATATCTCATACGGGTGCTCCAGTTCCCATAATTGTTGCTATTTAGCTTCTCGATGCTATTAGCAACTCCAGAAAAATTCGTCATAAGGTACTGGTGTTCCTGACACTAAGCAATGCACAACGATCCTTGACCAATCACGATCACAATCTTGCTTGTGAATCTTATTGTTGCTTGAACAACAATTCCCGACTGTTAATTCCAGTAGAGTATACAATACCCTACACTTGTAAATGAACACCAAAAAATACCACGGCTACAACAACTACCACCATAACGAGGCTCTGATACCACATGTTGGATATCAGTGCAGTGATAAACTCTAAGATTG